TGGCCCACTTCAGATCTTTCATGCCTCAGACTGGCCCACTTCAGATCACAGCCCGTTATTAAAATCATAATCATAACCAACATGTTAAGTCGACAGTAGCGCACCGTTCTGTAAAAACTTGTAATTCATGTATTTTTCTCAAATGTTTCCAATTCAGTTCAGGTAAGTTTTGCTTCACATTGTAATTTATTTCAACACGAGTGCACATCTCCAGCGTTGTTCTCTACAAAACATCAATTCATCAATATCAGAATCTACATTCTGTTCAAACAAGTGTTCATATATATTCAAACCTTAAAATGAAAAAACAAAAATATGAAATAGTACATAAAAAAATAAAATAAGGTGTTACACGTTCTTATAACACTATCATCTAGTTTCTCTGCAAGGAAACAGTTCCATCACAACTTAAGAAGAAGAGTTAAAGAGCAACTCCAACACTTTTCTTCACATCATCAGTTTCTCAACGTGGCTGCACGGCGCAGCAGCTCTGACCTACTGCTTTTAAAACTTTCATTCAGATTATTTCAGATTATTTCATACGAGTCAGAAGTATTTGTACAGTGTGTGACGCAGTGGTGAGGGGGTCTGTGGGTCCTCCCCCCAGAAACTTATGATTAAAACAGATGCCATTTCCTGCATTTCCTGCATTTTAACAGGTTAAACATCTACGTTTACATAAGTAAACACTTGACTGAAGAACTATTTTAGAGCACGGCACAAAACGTTTCATTTTTAGTTTATTGATTACAGCGACGTGATGGACGTTCTTCTGTTGCTTTTACCAAACTTGGAGAGAAAATTTGTGTTTTGGAAGAAGAAATGTTGATTTTTGACCATTAAAGGACATTTATTAAAGATGCAATGTGCATGAGCTTGAATTTTATAAATGTAATCACTGAGAGGGAGACTAAATGATTTTAAGAGAAATCCTGCTTCACTGTAAATTATGAGCCATAACTGATTTTTGGCTATAAAATGTCATATCTAAGGTGTGATGTGGAAATGTGACAAGCTATATTTTTAATATAACAAAGTTACATTTAATAATCCCAGTTATGTGGCACTGCATCCTACTATTTTTTAAATTATGTAACAGTTTGTTATGTGCCACAATGCCACACGATACAATTCACTGACTTGACAATTAATTGATAATTAATTAACTTGAACGGAGGTTTGCAGGCGAAGTTCAGTCTTGTCTTAACCGTTTCATCCTCATTTAAAGCTACAAAGCACGAGCTCGTTTGAATGAAAATGGTGTCAATCCGTGCACATTTAGCTGTGCGTTTCCAGATTCCTCTTTTTAACCTTGCTCTTTCTACTTTCGAACATCACCGACCAAATGCACTGACGTGTTACATGAAGGTGCATCTGCAATAAACAAACAAATACATAAATAAAAGAGCTGCCAGTGGAGGTGAAGCCAGGCCTGGGTGGAGGCGGCCCTGGTGCAGTTGTAGAGTTGATAAACTCAGGGCCATGACTGAGCACCGGCCCCGCGACCAATACATCAGACCGGCCCACCAGGAAATGTCCCAGTGCTCCCATTAACCACTCCGGGCCCGGCTCAGCCTGTGTGAGCCTTCATGTGAGTCTTCAGACGAAAAATGTGATTAAAACGCTTCCCACAGGTTTGACAAAAAAATGCCTTCTCCTCTGTGTGGATCATCATGTGAGTTTTCAGATTTGAACTTTGATTAAAGCGTTTCTCGCAGATTTGACAACTAAAGGGCTTTTCACCCGTGTGGATCAGCATATGTCTTTTACAGTCAAACTTCATAGTAAATCTTTTCCCACAAACTTTACACCAGAAAGGCTTCTCACCTGTGTGGAATTTTATGTGGATGACTAAATTTTTAAAAGCAGAGAAGGTTTTACCACAGGTGGGACAGCAGTACTGCAGACTGTCAGAGTTCTGGCTCCTAACTTTGTGGACCGTGATGTGATGGATCAGAAGTGATTTCTTGCTAAAAGTTTCTCCACATATTTTACAAGAAAACATCTCAGATGTTGCTGGTTTGTCTACTTTGTTAGCATGAAGACTGTCCCCGTCACTGTTCCTTGTGTCCGTCTTCTTTGGTGACCACTCTGTATTATGTGACCCTGAATCCTGGTCCTCAGGTCCAGCAGAACTCTGAAAGATGTGCAGCACCCTGTTTGGGTCTGTCAACATAAACGGATCAGTCTCCTGCTTCAGGGGGAGCTGATCTTCAGCCTGATTGGTGCAGAGCTCCTGCTCTTCCTCTTTAATATGTGGAGGTTCTGGTTCCTCCTGGTCCAGGCTGGAGT